GAAACCAAATACGTGACGTGCGACGCTGAAGATAGTAACTACTTTCGGACTGTTAGAACTCTATCGTCGACCATAAACGAACTTCTTTCACCTCACGTGAGCCGTCGAAACTTTCGCTATGCATACGGAGGAACAAAATCCGACGTCGAGAAAGTGTTCGAGCTGATCGTACCGCGATCCGCTTTGCGATACGGAAGTTGCGTCCACGACTTTCGGTCGAATACTCGTCCTCCACGGCTGTAGCTGGATTGACCCGCAGCAATCATCGAGTCCCGTGTTCACAGGTTTGCTATCGGTAGCTGACGAGGAGATCCGAGTTGGTGGGAACAGAGGTGTCTTCTGAATAGAGGGCGGCTGAAAACTCAAGCGGAAATCGCATCCGATCAGGGAGTTGTACGCGGTCGGTCAGCTGAGCGGATTCAGGAATGTGGTGAACAGGAGAAGAGCGAGGAATTTTCCGAGCCATTACCTTGATATTTGCTCTTCGGAACCGTCTCGATATACCGTATCGTTCCGCGATCCTCCCGTTCCGTATGGGGAAGAAGGAGGCTGCCCAAGGATCTCAGATTCGGCTTCACGTGCCGGATTCGAAGAGTCTCCACGCAAACCAGTGACAACGGATAGCTCCGGGTTTCAGGATGGGTCCCCCCCACGGTCAGATGGGAAGTGAATATCCGAATCAATTCTCTGATCAATATATCAGAGATCGGAGCTCTAGATTCCGGAACGAAATATAATCGTAGTCTTCTGCCGACGAGTACGGGGCGCGGGATCGATGAAGTCTCAGAGAAGATTCATCCCGAATTCACTCGATCTTCGAGAGAGCGGGTAGACGTTTACGCGAGGGTAGCAGCGGATGCCGACAGCTCGGCTTTTCCTCCGTCGGGATTTTCTCCGTCACATTTTCCCGGTATGTAGATAGCGTACTTGGAGCGAGAAAGAACTGTCGAGACGAGAAGTTCATGTGCGTCAGCCTGCAACCTCGAGATAATTCCGCCCGCCCATGCACGATTGTTCCTTCCTCCCGACAATTCGCCGCCGAAACTAGAGCATATAAATACAAGAAGAGAGACCGCGCGATGCCTTGTGATTACTGCAGAGAGCTTCATGTAACCAGTTTGCTCAACGAATCAGTTTGTCGCCGTCTGTCCGTCCGCGTTTGCCAGGACAGTCCGTCCTAGGCACTACGCTCAGTCAGAGCGAAAGTCATCTGCTGTCGGTAGATTGGAAGCCCACGGTATTTGTATCATTGCCGAATCTATTACCGACCACTCGACCGAACGAGCGAACTGCCTGAGGAACCGCCGTCCAACCGCTGCTCCGCTCGTCCGGAAAGAAGAGACTTTCACGCCGGGAAACCGCAGTACGTCAATGGTGCCCGAAAAGAGAATGAGTGGAGAGGAGGAGACAGAATGCGTGCCATGAGGATCGAGCGTGACGATGCCCGAGCGCAAGTTTCAAATACGGACTTCTGAACTTGAGTTGCCCCAGATTGAACAGAATCATTCGATCACCTTCGGGTGGGAAATTTAGGGAAAGATCGGTGGTGACGATCAATGTCCAATCCGTCGGAGAACGGCCGGGGAATGGCCGTAGCGGAAGGATATCGCGAGTGGTTTTCGGACGTCTTTGCAGAAAGACCTCCGTGAAGGGGGCACGCCCCACCTCTCGAACGGTGTCACGGCAAGGAACCTTGGTGGTCTACCGGTCGACAACTGTCAAGGCGGGGCTGGACAAGACTGATGCAAATTTCGCGTGGAACGATTGTGCGCTAGCTGCGACAGGGTCGAGTCAACTCTCGAGACAAGGTGCTCCGCAGATCGCTCGCTGCTGACCCACTTATTTCTGCGCCTATTGTTTTCCTTGAACGCCTGTCTCCAGTGATTTCCAGACGTCTTCCATATTTTCTCTGATTTCATTATCGGCGATACGCTTACCCCTGGCAGGTCACGTCCTCGAGCCCGTTGGGTCGTGAGAGGGACCTCCTGGCGTGCCGGCGGCTTATTTCCCCCTTGGGAAAGAACAAAGTAAAAACTTCAGATGAACGTTCGAGCCGCTCTGCACGTTTTTTCTATCGTGCCTCTGATGAACTTTCTGGTGTCAACGCCTGAGCCCGCTCCCTAGCAAGTCTTGCCCTCTAGCGGCTCCGCGTGATTTCTAGAATGGGGAATTTGTCTGATTTTCCCTCGTTTGGAGGATTACCTGGCCACTCTGAGCTGTCAGTCGCGATTCGCGATGTCGTTCCAAGCTCGGATGGGAATCAGAGGGGCGGAATAGCGTGCTGTAATTGGAAATTTGGCGTTCCGTGCAAAGGACCCTTGGGACGAGGCGATCCTCTGACGTCATTCCTGGCGAGCGTTATCCCTCACTGGATCGTAACAAGATTCCCCTTTAATGTAATCTCAAGGAGCATGATTCATTTCCGAATTTCTATAAGTCCGAGCTTGAAACAAAGTTCAAATCGCTCGGGGGAGGATATCTTCTTGAACACCGAATGGTCCGTGGGTGTCCAAGCAACAAACTCCGCCGTGGGGCTCCGCCCTCCACGCGAAGGGGATCTATCGTTCCTTGCCGTCAAAGAATCCCCTCCTTTTTGGGGGATTTCTCTCGTAATTTCCTGGACATAGTCTCTTTTTCTCAAAGATTCCACCGGTCCGAACTCTCATGCGGGAGATCACGACCTGAAGCTCACAGACGTACCTGATCGCATACGATGACATGATAATAATTCCTGAACAGAGTATTCAAGGCAGAACGAATCGGGCTCCAAAGCGTTCTATCATTCATCTGTTTCGTCTTCCTTCGGCGGCGTCGGACCGCGGCCAAGCCCCACGGTCGGGAGAAATTCGAAGATTTTCCAATCAGATGAAGATTCCGCCCCGGGCTAGGCACTCATGGGTAATTGCGGGAGGACGTCGAGTGTCCCCGGACGTATCAGATCATTGACATTGATGTTGACAATGTCGGCTAACCTCCCCGTAGCGTAAATAGCTATCTAGCAGGTTTGCTGACTGCTACCTCGCTTTCCCTTGTGAGCGACTCGTAGCGACTTTGTTCGTCTGCCTGCTTGCCTGGCTGTTCGCCTGCCTGCCTGCCAGCCAGCCTGTTTGTCTAGCCCTTCCCTACTCGCACGGCCGCCCGCCCGCACTGTCACCCGCCTGTCCTGTTTGCTTTGCTAGGGTTTGAATCCGGTAAACGACTCAGGGAGGAGCGAGCTAAATTTGTTTTACCGGCTACGAGGCTCCCACCTGACACCCTATCGCGGGAAATGCCCTTAGCTCGGGAGAAAACGTGACCCGTCTGCTACTGTGAGTCATATGGTAATAGACGGCATATTCTCGCAGACTCCGGTTCGAACTATTAATACCATGCCCCACGATTCAGAAGATCGCGAGTCGCGGGGTCCTTCCTCCATTCGTAGATTTGCCCAGACGGCAATCACTCGCTTGGTCACACAGAGTCTCACGCAGGTTCGAATCCCGAACTTTCTTGGCACGTGAGTCGCAACATCAGAAAGCGGGTCCCCTCCGGTACGTTCCCTCTCGTAGCCAGCAGAGAGAGTTCGTCGATGTCAGAATCGTAAAATCGTGAAATATATAATAATAACTGTTGTCGCGGAGGCTCAGTTGAAACAGACTGCGGAAGCAGAGGAAAAAGCGGAGGGAGACGAGAGTGCGTCCTTCGAAGACTCAGAGTGATTTCTCTGATTCAATTCGCTCATCCTCGGCAACGAGTCGAGAGAATCTCCTCTCGGTCCAATATCTACGACGGACGCCTCGGCCGGGAAAAAAAGCGGGAGTCGAACATAATCCAGTCGTGAGAGGCAGTCATGAGGGAAACTATGACCGGCCGACATAAATTTTCGAAACTGGAAATTCTGAAATCAGATCCACCGAACGTCCTCGGCCCATCCTTGAAATCAGCCGTGTCAACATTTTTTGTCCGTTGTCCACGATGAGTTCCCGTAAACTCTAGACTGTGTCTCGTCCCTACTGTGCCGTGTCATTCGGCTCCCCGGAGCTCCGCCAGCACCCCTGAGGATTCACGTATTGCTGACGACGAGCTGCAGATGAGCCCTCCCAGACAGTTGGGGGAAGACAGAGGCATCTGTTTACCGAGGTTCTCTTTCTACTTTCGAGCGAAGACGACGGAGAGGCCAGTCACCGGCTCCCCGGAAAGCCGAGAAGCGAGCTAAGGGACAAGCTCGCTCACTCGTTCGGTCCACGCTGTATAGGTGATTGAGTCGGCGTCAGCAGTCGACTCACGTCGAACAAGAGACAGTTATGAAGACCGGTATTGGCCTGACGGTCTTGCCGTCGCCTATCAAGTTGCAAACTTGTGTTGCACTACCTAAAAATAGAGCTCCGCTCTGTCAGCTGATTCTCCCATTGGCGAGTACGCTGCTCGAGCAGGGAACGTCCGTCTGACCAAAAATGGTCAAGGTCTCCTCTCATCGGTCCTGGGGGTCATTGAGGAAAACGGGAGACTCCAGTCCGAGAGCCGACTGGAAGAGGTGGGATATCAAACCCCGATGCGGATGGAGGGATTGTGACTCGACGGTGGCCGCGCGGCCGACGGAGGGAGAACGTCGACGACAACGACCTGAGAGCGGTGTTGTAACCTTGTCCGGTGTGCTTTTCCCTTCCCTCAGCAGGAACTCTCCTTTTTCGGCAGGACCCTTTCCACCGTCGAGCTCTCCATCCTCCTGCTCTTGCTCCAACGGAGAGAACTTACTGCGCTCCGAAGACAGTGATGCGTTAGACGGTGTTCGTGGGACGACTACCCGGTGGTGCTCCGAGTTGTTTTGTCTCGTGTGCATGTGTGCTGTGTGCGTTCCCGTGTGGATTGGTGGTGAACGATTGATCGTTTGATTGATCGACGGATCATGTGGACCTAACGCAGCGTTTCGTTGACACCTCTCTCAGGCGGGCTCTGGCAAGAGATCCGACGGACTCGCGAGTGGAGTGGAATGTCCGCACCTTGAGGGAACGTGGACCGACATGAGGTGGCGACGAGTCCTTCTCCTCATTCTCCCTCCGTCGCTGCAGTTGTTGTTGTTGTCGTTGTTGTTGTTGTCGTCGTCTCTGCTTTTCCTGCTGCTCATCACGCCCGCCGGAGCCGCGAAAGGTTCGTTTGCACTTTGTTGCGCGACACCTGCAACAGAAAAACTCCCAAACAAAAACGTATTCCGGTTGGTTTCCGTCTGTGCGTTGGGGATTCTTTCCATCGAGGCTCGTCCTCGTGTTTCCTTGCAACCGATGCTAAGGGGATCCTCGAGGGAAATGAACTTGATCCCTAGTCGGCGTTCCTCGTTCGCTGGCTCCGTCCGTCCTCCGTTAAATGAACTTTTGAGCCTGACAGTCGAATTCGTGGATTTCCTCGCAATGGAGCCACCAGCGCGTTTGAAGATCGAATCGTATCGAGGGCACGCCTCTCCTCATCTTGGGGCCGACTTTCGCGATGCACTGTTATATTTTCAAGACGACAGAGTGCCGAAGTCGATATCGACCGGCACGACCTCATTGCGATTCGGGATCTATTCTTTTGACTGGAAATGGAATAAACGGCAATCCTCGGGAGCCTTGCTCAAGGCGATCCGCCGGGGGGGGGGGGCTGTCAACAGTCTGACCATGAATCGACGCACTGTGTCTCGCTGAAAGGACGTCGATGCAGTCGACTCCGTCCGCTCGGAAGGATAAGTGGGGAGGGGAGGCCAGGGGGTCACGCTGACGAGCTTTGAGGGCTTTTTGACTGCTCGGATGACAAGTTGGTATGTTTGTAGGTCGTCCCGCCATATTTCTCTGTCCGTCTCCGGACACCAGAGACAAGGAGTCGGGGTCAGCCCGATGCACTCATGTGCGAAATGGTCATCTCGCTGACGATGACGTTTGACATGCTCATACAGTGAAGAAATATTCCCTTAGAGACTTCTCTCTATCGGGATGATGCTTCGAAACTTCATTGCGAGTTCCCGTCGGAGTCCGACAGATTCCCAGATGCGACTTCGGACGGACTTCAGGTTTCCCAGAGCTCCGTATGGTTCTCGGATGAGGAGGCTCCGTGGAATATTCACGCGAAGCTTATCCAAACTGCTTTCGATGCGTCCGATGACGCTCCCCGATCCGACCGCGATCGAGTTGACGTCGATCGTCAGCGCGTGCTCGACGGCGACGCCCTCGTCCGGATGCGACGACGCCAATTTGTCAGTGAAAGGGAAATTGAGAGTAGTGAAGATTTTCCAAGTCATTAGTTCTCCGCTTCGATCATTCACGGCTCACGCTCCCTGATCCTTTTGGTCAGTCGATGGGAGTTGGGTGAGGGGAATGCGATGGAAGAGGGAAATAACTCTCGATCCCTGAGTCTCGAGCTGACTGCGACAAGATGATCCGTGTCCGACGATGAGCCGCTGTTGACTCCTGCGAGGATATTCGCAGACGGGTCGACTCCGTCCAAATTAAGCTAATTACTAGATCGAGTCGTCTCTGGCTGCCACCGGTATGAAAATAGTTTCAGCGATCCTGTGACACCCCGGGAATATTCTCGCGCTGTACCAAAATACAGCGATCCGGCTCTTTTGAGAGGGCCCGGATCTCAAAGCCGAAAAATCACAGTCCCGAGTCAATCACCAGCGCTGATTCCGTGCGTCGAGTACGACGAGGCTCCCGCATGCTTGCGAAACTTTTTGAACACGATCTAAATGAAGGAACATGCGCCACGTCCTCTGTATTTGTTCCATGCGTCGGCGAGTTCCGACTCGGTTGACTTCGGAAACGCTCGATATAGCATCCGCGGATCATTAAAAAATACTCATGTGCTCATCGTTCCAACTGGAAAGAGCTCGAAAGCTTAGAACTTTGCTACATGGTGACCACTGATTCGAGTCAAGAGAGCTGCTCCTATCATTAGCACTATGGTGCACTTCGTATGCACATGCTTGCCGAGCTCGTTGTGTCTCGATCAAGTCGTTCATGAATAATGAAAGCCTTAAACTAAATTTGATTTTGTCGAGCAGCGGGAAAATCGCTCGACGGAGCGACGAACAACAAGAGAGCGGAGAATGTGTAGACGATGGGGAAACCAGACCCCAGCCTGTGAGTCTGGACGCTCCAAAAGGATGAGAGGGAAAGTCGGTTACACAGAGAGGGAGGAGCTTCCAGAAAAACTCTCTTCCCGAGTGCCGAACGTCATCCTCAGCGGTGTTCAGCGTTCGTTCACAACCATTGTTTTCTCCCTGAGAAACACGAACACTTGTGAGAGACAGCCTCTCGTTTTTCTCAGTAATTATTCTTTCCCCATTCCTCCGTTACCCCAGCGTCGAAACTCCCGGCGCGGCGTTGGTCGTTCTTTCGAGCCAGCTCCTTCTCCCCGCCCCTCATACCCGCCTTCCCCTCGTAAGGGGGGCAATGACCGCTCGTTCCGGGATTGGGGAATATGTCCCGAACACAGTTGTGGATCTGAATCACAACTCAAGTTTTTTAGCGTCTCTTCCAAAAGAGTCCCGGTGCTCGTTGATTCTCCCCGACTTATCAGGCTCATCCAAAAGACGTCATTGGGAACCGCAATCTCTAATCGTGCCGGGAAGGCTACGAGGCTACGATCTGCAACAGGTATTTCTCATTAAGGCCTTCGCCGCTCCTGTAGCCTCTCTGGGAAGGTATGGACTCTTTTCCATGTATGTAGATATTGTGTTCATTCGACGAACGTAGGAACACGTCTCGCGTGGACTTGTACGTGGGCTAAGTGAGGAACTACTCCTGGGACCGGTATAGATGCTCGGTGGATTGTTGGCTTTCTCGCTAGCAGTAGTCGCTCACCGGCTTAGACAAAATGAAGGCTGGCACCGTTGCATATATTGTTTTATTGGCGAAAATTCCCAATGAGTCTCCAGGGGAGGCAAAATCGATTTCTAAGCAGGTCCTAATGAAGTTACTGCTGATGGACGAATCGGTCTATTCTCTGGCGCTTGTGACGGCTTCTCACAGAATGCACCAGCCTTGTATCGGTTAAGTCGAGTTGCCCTCGTGGAAGCTCTGGATGGTTCGCCGAATTCCCGTTCGATTCCGGGAGAGGAACGAATGGATTCGGAAAAGAGGGGAGAATGTTCTGCGGTCGATGATCGCGGCGATCGAAGACGATTGATTCAGGATCATCCCCCGAATCAATGTTGTTGGATTCGATCGAAGCCCAGCACTGCTCGTTCTTCCTGGCCCATGATGTGAATTCGCACGAGAACTTCTGGCCCACGGGAGGAAACTCTATGCGCGGCGCAGTTGGCAAGTGTCCGCCCCATATCATCGGGGGGATAATGAGACGGACGGGATGGGAGAATATCAAAAATTCTCTTCGATGGCTTGCGTCGAGGAAGTTTCGAAGTCGACTCATCCGGAATCGGAATTAGGAACCGACGTGGAGCATCGAGTCCGGGAAAAGAGCATCATTGAGGGAACGCATCGATGCGTCGACGTTTCCCGGTCGTTCGTTCTTTCACAGGAGTGATACGCAACGGCTTCACATGCGAGGTCTGACTTTTGAATGCTTGCTCGGATGCAGTGATCTCCTCGCGCTCTATTGCGTCTGGGAACGGTCTGTGTGAGAAGCTCGTCTGGATTCCCCATTGTTGTTGTTCCAGTCTCTACCGAGGTCCTTCGTAGCTGAAACTATTGTTCCAAGAGCCGTTGTAAGCAGGCCTGTCCTCAGTCGGTCAGAACGTCGAGGAGCGCATTACATGGTGTGAAGCAGGACCTTGCGAATTTCGGGATTCACCAGGGCAGATGCGAGTCTGGAAGCTCAGACCGCAGAGCATTCCATTCGTGGCCGTGAGCCGGGGGTGAAACGCAATCTCCCGCCTCGGCTGCCGATATACGGAGTTTCGAATACACTCATGTCCTCCAGTCTGGGAAGTCTGCCTTTCAGCTTCAGCTTCCTCCCTCGAAAAGGAGCAAGTTATCTGTCTTGGGATCCCATGAGGAAAAGATACTCTCGAACTCGGCCTTTGAAGCTCTCCAACGACGACGACGACAAGGAACGCCATGCCTGTTTTCCCCCCGTCAACGAGAAGCTTCAAACGGAAGAAGGATCGAACGAGCATTCTAACCGGACCAGGCCAAGGTCCGACCGACCGAAGAGGATACCAGACTGCGGGAAATCGAGACAGGAATAAAGCTCCGATCCGACCAAGCAGACCTTTTCGGAATCAGATACGCGGGCTTTCGAATTCCCAGACGGTACTAAATGTAATACAATTACTTCCGCGAGCTTCAGCAAGCTCGACACTGATAGCACTCAGCTCACGACATTCCTCGACTTCATCCTTCAGGCCGCTCGACAGTTGAAGAAGACGTGCATTTCGACTCTGGAATGAACTAATATCGATAACTTGACTCCGCGTCCTCGTGGCTCGAAGAATAAGAACGGTTCAGTTTTCGAGTTGAGTCGGAGGCAGTTCTCCTCTCCCAGTCTCACTTCGCTTCCGGGAGCACTGCTGGCTCGTATCTTTTGGAAAAGATTCGGGAAATAAAAGAGGCAGGACAAGAGAGAATTCCAAAACTTCAATCAAACACAATCACTGGGAAAGAAAATTGATTCCCGTGGAAGACTCCATCACTCTCACGGCAGAGGAGTCCATCTGATTAGGTTCCACTGACGATCATGCTCCTCACTACCCGAACCGTCACTTAGCGAGAACTTATTATGGAAAAAGCGGCTCCTGTAAAAATCACAGTCTTTGACCACTCTGAGAGGATCTCGAGAGAAACGATGAATCCTTTGAACACCGAGGAAATCACTTTTTGCGACCATTATGAGATGCGACTTCAAGTGTTCATTCATAGATCTCTGAGAGGAGAGACTGAACATAGACGAGTCGATTTTCTGCTCGGCACCAGACCATTCAACCCACGATTCTCTCGCTGAATAGCCTTTGAGAGCCCGGTAATCAGAATAGCGCAATCGTAACCGACAGATCCTGCCCCCCCCTCTCCTCTAAGGTTGGCGAGAACAGGGGCACTTCTCCGATCGCTGTCCGCTGTTGGATATTACCTGGGTATTCGATATTCGCTCGAAGTTCTCAGCCCGGGACAAGCTAACGCAGGATCAAACCGAAATAATCGTGAGGGCCCTCTTCGGACGCGGGCAAGCTCCATCTAGGCACCAGCAGTAGCGTCCATAGGGGGGGGCCAAGGGGGCCATGCCCCCCCCCAAGATTTTCAGTCGACCTGTCGTCAGATGGACGCACTTTCAGCGTACTCAAATTGCTGAAAACAGATCTGCGGAGTACGATGAGAGGAGAGAGATTGAATGGCTTGACGGCGTTCAAAATTCATCGAGGAATGCCGCTTACTGTTGAAGAGATTGTGGACTACATGGCGGCTAATCCGAGAAAGCTTGAAATGGTTTTGTGAAGTAGTTTCGGGGAAGTAAACTAATACTCGAATAGTTCGATGGTTGTGCTATTTGTGATGGATTAAAATCTGAAGTTCCTGCATTGCCCTCCCTTATGGTCATGATTGTAAGTACGGGATTTCGTGCTTTATCTCGAGAATCACCATCTCCGGACAAAATCGAGAAATTGTTTTTTTGATGCGACTCAAGAAGTCGGCTGGCCCCCCCCAAAAAAAATCGTATGGACGCGCCTGGGCACCAGTGACCGTTTTCGGGGGGGCCGAAGACCTCGATCCGATTCCGGAGTTCACTGATCGACGCGGAGACTCCCTGCATTACTCTTTCGGCGCCTTCTCTGGGCACTGTCTTGGAGCTGTCGGTCCATCATTCCCGATATCCGCGACGTTCCCTCCCCACTATGACGCTATCTCGTCCATCTCATTTTGATCGTCGCGTGGGTCATTCATGAATGACCAGGTCTAATCCTTGAAGAGCATCTCAGTACATCCCCAGCGAAGCTCAATGAATTTTTCCTTTCAGTGGGCGTCAGCAGTAATGGCTCGATTCGGGCAACGAGAATCTGTGAATGTGGACCGTCTCAATTCGCGTGTCAGGAGGTTGTGTCTGAGAAAGGCAACTGTACGTGTATACCGGCGAGGTGGCATTGCGATGGCGACGACGACTGCGGAAACGGCCGTGACGAGCAGGGATGCAGTAAGTGTAAAACTTTTGGAGAATCGGAATGGTTTATTACCGCATCGAATTGTCGGTCTCCTCCATTGGAATAGAAGTGTGTACGGGTCCGTGTTCGGGGAAAAAGTCTGCTCGAACGATCCTTGGAGAAACCCCATTAAATTCACATGACTGTCCAGAGTTGAATCCGGGTCCAGCCGTCCTGGAGCATTGAGTAAGGGACATACCGACACGGGTTGAGATTTATCCCTGGGAAAGGAAGACGGATGGAATATGCGAAAAGTCGTCGTTTGGATATTTAAGTATTTTGGGCTGTTTAATCTTCGCCGACTGCGGCTTCTTCTGACGGCGAAGCTCTCGAGGAGTTGATGATTTCACGCTTTCGAAAGCCAAACCCGTTGCATGCTGGGAGCACCGTCAGGGAGGGGGTCCGGATAAATCAGTCACAGCCTGATAGAGTCGTGGCTTCCAAAATATTCGAAGAGTTCGGGGTACGGAGAGCTCTGCGACGAGAAGGCGTGATGCTCCGGATCAGAACTTTCCCGGACGCCTTCCTTGCTTGTTTTCGAACCCCGCGAAAGGATGCCACTGATATGGCTTATCTGTACCGGGAGTCCCAAGGAACGCTCAAACGTGAAGATTCGGGAGAGTCGTGGAGCCAAGTTCTACTTTTCATCCTTTTCGTCGAGAATTCCCGAGCTCCAAGCAGAGAGGAACGAATTCCGGAAGAATCGTGGCGGCGCCATGATAATATGTAGGCTCGTGAAGCTAGCAATCTTTGGAGAGATCGCTCATCCACTCATAGGGTAGCGATAATAATCATGATGAGTCGATGAGTTTCCGACCCGACGATGCTCCTGGCTAGGTCGACCGATATGCAAGAAATAAAAATTCCAACATGTGACCTTCTTCATACTCCTTTTAGTGTCCAGCGTTTGCATGGAATCAACGCAGTTTCCGTGCCACAACGGAGCTTGCATTCCGAAAGATCATTGGTGCAATGGCGTCAACGATTGTGGAGATCATTCCGATGAAACGGATTGCCGTGAGTATCTGAGCGGAGGAACAACAGCCGTTGATCTCGAGACGCACCTGGGCGCAACCCGCTCGAAGATTACTTCGGGTTCAACGGGGTGCGCAAGTTTCCTGCGACGATACAGGTGTTTACAAGTCTGGCTACAAGAGTTGTTGGATTCAAGGCCGCTTTTTAGAGCTCTGCTTTTATGTGGCCCGCGACCATCAGCTGCCATTTCGAGGGGTAAAACAAACTCCATTAGCGGATAGTCTACAGCGCCGCATCCATCTGCTAGTCTCTGCGAAAAGCACCTATAGAAATTCGCCTTCACGAGACGCAATCATCGGACTGTGGATGACGCTCGTTCCCGGCGAGCATCGATCGAGAGGGGGGAAGGTCGGGAGACGATGGATTCAATATCGCATGAATCTAAGCATATCTATCCCTTGCAGTGGCGCGAAATTGCAGTTTGTCAGAATTCGAGTGCGCCAACGGGAGATGCATTCCGCCGCTGTGGCAATGCGACGGCTTCGATGATTGCGGAGATCACTCGGACGAACAGTGTCCTCATGGTACGTGGCATGTCGCGCTCGGATGCGCGGTGGCCTCTGATTGCCGAAGTCATTCCGCTGCGAAAATCGATAGACGAAGGGTTGCCGAATCCTGGAAGAAGACTGAAGTTTTGATTGCTCGGCTCAAATTCGCTCACCCTTTCGATATGAGAATTAATTACGAACCACTGTCCCGCCATCCTCGGGATCATATTTCGGCATTTGGTGCGCGTTGCGGCCGGGAACCGCAGTAATCTGAGGTCGAAGTGAAATGGGCGAGATTATTCGCCTTGATGACGCGTTCGCCGAACAAACCCCTCGCCTAGCATCGATCAGCGTAGGAAAAAATTATTCCGGAGATAATTACTATCGGCGCGGATGTTTCAGCGTTGACAGGATCGACGTCCTGTTTGGAATTCCCTTGCAAGACCGGCTCGTGCATCAAATGCGACTCAAAGGGACCGTGTGGGGATGGCGCGTGTCGAGGTGAGTCGATTTCCAGCACAGGTATGGTTGAGGGGAGAATCTGACTTTTTAGCCGCCGGGACCGCTCGGTCGCAATCGACCGGGGTCGAATTCGCGTCGGTCCGTAGTCCACGCTCCCGGAAGCTCCGAGAGACGTGTGTTTCCGAATAGTGTGGTCGTTGGGAATTCATTGCTGAAGAGCAACCAGTCGGCTTTTGAGGGAAAACATACGGGATAGCGACCGATATGACGATGCGGCCACATCTAAAAACTCCAAGCTATCAAGCCGGTGGTCAGCTCGACAACGGCTGGGAACACTGAAGGGCTATGACCGGGGTGGGTTTTTTCTCCGGTAACACCAAAACGATTCGCCATAAAAGACAAAACGATCGCTTGCAGTTATTGAGCACTTCGAGGGTAGTAGGGGGGAGCCGTCGACGACTGTATTGCTGATCGAGGTCACCTCTTGTGTCTTCGCCTCTCACCTACTCCTTCGCAAACATGGGCCGCCCATCTGCTCCAGCAGTTAGACCGGCGGAAGCGAGCTGCCGTCATTTGCAGGAGGAAGAGCGGGGAAAATAATTGACATCTAAGCCGGGGAGCCATTGGATGCCCGGCGGAGCGGGGCCGTGGCTGATGACGGCCTCGTCGGCCAACAACCGACAGACTTGGATTCTCAGAGACTAATTTCCAAAATGTCGTGGAAGTAAGCTCCGGTCGGGCCTAGGAGAGAATCCTGAACTGTGCAGGGGAACAGACCGGAGCCTTCTCGCTCTCGGCGGACCAGCTGATGGTCTGGTCGTTCCGCAGATGGCCGGCAGCTGGCCGGCAGCTGGCCGCTCTGAACGATGCGGGGATCGAGTGACAAGTTCGTCGTCGCTCTCAGATTTCTGCAACTGAGAACGTCACGGGCGAAGCTGACTCCCGGGGGTTTTGGGCGAGGAGCGAAGAGGCCTCCCGATTCATCGTTCGTTCGATGCATCCATGGAAGGACGCTTACAGGACACCGTCTCATTCGACCACCATGATTAATCAGTGTACCAAAGTCCTGTTGAATTCTGTGTGACGGGGAAAGGTCTGAAGAGCGGAGGAACGATCCGGTTCCCGAAAACACTGTGATGGGAATGCCACTCCGCTAATTGTATAATGATCCCAATGCCGGGAGTTTCTCCAAAAGAGTTCGTTTTGCAACCTCGTGGAGCCTAATTTCAAACTTTGACGCCTTCTGTTGCCTCGGAACCGGAAGGCTCAAACCGGAAGCTGGAGAAATTAATACCTCCGACGGACTGGTCGCGGTTGCTCTTTGCCCACTCGTGCCACCTGCGCCCCGTTCTCCATTTCCCTTCAGCCCTCCTGCGGTCGTGATTCTTTGGACAAAATGAGCCCCCGAATTCTTCACGCAGCCTTATAAGCGGCTCTATTTTCGCATTAGGACCGAATGCCTCCGTCGTGATTATTATTATCATTCCCCGGAGAACCACTCATGATGTGCGGGATCTCAGCGAGCCGTTGCGGCACAGTTCTGCTCTTCTGGAGAATAGATGGCGGGACTATACGTCAGAGGGATTCCTGATCGCGGAATGCCGCATTTCGAACAACATTCGCAGCCTTGCAGTTTCGAGGGTATAACCCGGCAACTCGGCCGATCCCAATGGCATTAGCTCGGGAATTCATAGGTGCAGATTCCGGGAACGATACAATGGAAGCTTCACGTCGAGACGCGCGGAACGATGAAATGATTAATTCATTCCGTTCGGTTACTATGAATACAGAGAGAATGATTGCACGACGAGTTCAACGGAAGAATTCCGATTGGGAATTCTACTCGCGAGGTTCTATCCGTTCGCGTTTCCTCACGGGGCCTCCACGGGGCCTCTCTTGCATTACGACCCGGAGCTGATCTCGGGTGATCGCCTTTTCGACTCAGAGCGAAAATCGAAGATACCGAGCTCAAAGTACCTAGGTAAAATTATCCCGGCGAGGATTCATCGGAAAAAGTCCGCTCGACGATAATTTTCCGCGAAATTTGCACGTGTTGCGAGTGAGCTGGCCGAGCGACTGCGCCTGGATCTGCTTATCACACACCGCCTGTGCCTATAGTTAGATCTCGTTAAGGAACTCCTTCTTGGAATCGCTCCGACACTGACTGAATCGGTTGCCGCAGAGGAAATTTGCGCGGAACGCTTCCCAGCGCTGCGGCGTGAGCAGACGATTCAGGAGGAAGATAAGTCCGAGTTTATTCGCAAGCTCGATGCCAATGATTCTTCCGGTAGGGATTGGTTCGGCAGCGATCTGCGACTCCAGTCCCGAAAATTTAGGAGTGAGACCATACGGACTTAAATAGACTCCAGGAACGTAGTCTCCCAACTGCCTAACTGCCTCTGCCTAGGGATAAAGGTCGTATCTACGTAGAGAAGAGCTGTTAGTTCGAACTGTGCTCATGCGGGAGCGTATCATATTCCGAGCTTGGGGTATGTGAAGAAAATTGAGGCCGATCAATTGCGTAGCCCGCGGCGCAGCGCTCCTGGGATCGCGAATATATTCAGCCGGAGCGACCCGATTCCGTTTTTGAGTTCCACGATTCGTCCATCGGAACAGAGATTCGAGTGCCAGGCCGAGCTTGTTCTGAGAGGAGATCCTCGATGGTATTCGAGCATCGATTCAAAGAAAACCATTTGTGTCCCTCACCTCAGCAGGTGTGTTTGCTCTCATCCCGCCCCTCTTCCCCTCGTTTCTATCGCGTACCCAGGGACGTCCCTGATCGATTCCGATTCCCTCGGCTCCTTCCGAACATAATCCCCCTCCGTGCTCCGTCCGCGCACAACTTCGAGGATCGACTTCATTCCGTTAAACCTACGCGCTCACTCGATGCTTGCTCGACGCAATTATTACGACGGTATCTCGGAATCCCCGCTGATATGTCGGCAGAGGACTCCATTGTGTGATGAATGATATTGTGCTGTGGGGGATTCACGCAGATTCCCCTCATTCGACCGGACCTCGGCGTCCTGGTCTGTACGAGCTGACCGGCCGGAGAACGAGCGAGCGGGCTCACGAGCGGCAGACGGATGGAAGGACCAGCATGCCTCCGAGAGACGGCTCAGTCAGTTATCCGGGCGGCCGCTCGACCAACCAGCTGCTCTCTTGATGAGGTCATCGCTCAGGGGCCTCGACAGCTGTCGAGACTAGATTTGTGGCAACATCACTGGGCTGCTAACGTCGGAAACGCCTCGGACCGGCTGGTAATTGTACCTCGTCGACTTGGTCTCTTTCTGACCCTCTCGTCGCCGTCGTCGTCGGCTGTGGCCTTGTTGTCGTTGCCACTGGCGCTCCGAATGATAGAAACCAGACTAATTGTGCGTTTCGCGTGTTCCAGACTTGGCCTCCCTCCCACGTTGTGCTTCCGAAGACGAATTTCTCTGCGCCAACGGTCGATGTGTTCTGGTGGCCGCACGCTGCAACGGCCGGGACGATTGTGGGGACAGCAGCGACGAACACAGATGCAGTGAGTATTGAATGGTCGCACTCAATAGTCATCGTCTGCGGCTGGACGAGGAATACCGCATTCGCCCCTCTTAGCCTCCGATGGCCTCAATACGTTATTAGGTCGATCCTTAGAAGGGAGCTCGGGATGCTTTTCACCACTTTGCACCTGGACTCGACAGTTTCCGCCTGGCTATTAGATAAGTACATAGTACTCAGAAGGAGTCCACTCAACGGTACGAGGGGACGTGGGCCACGTTCCTCCACGACGACCCTCGACGGAAGAGGACGAGACAAAAATATTCCCTCCCGTCGCGTCGAACTTATCCTCAGAACCGTGTAGGTATCTACTGGGTACGATCCCGGGCTAAATCTCCTTCGAAGCGGAACCGTAAACCTCGGTGCGGTTGCTTCTCTATCGACCCCGCGCGGGGGTTTTCCCATCGTACGCACCGGATGGCTGGGGAGAGAGGGGGGCGACACTGCGGATTCGCTGGAGTTCGCTGTCGAGACACTTGGGCGACTTTCTTGTGTCCACCAAAAACGCTCGCCTGTCGAAAAGCTTAAGTGAAGAGACATATGAAGTCGAATGTCGATGTCAGATCGAATTCGAGCGAGGCTCTCTCTTCTCGGGAATCACAAACGGCGGTTCTCGAGCGGAGACGTCGATGTATTGTTGGTACTACGCAGGGAATGTCGCCGACGAATTATTCATCGTTTCCATTCTCGTCTAGGAGTGCCCGAATGCGGGCCTATACGATTCGGGTATTGCGCTCGGAGGATATGCGGTGGCGTTTCTTTTGGCGATGCACACGACGAGATCGACGTCTTCTAAATTTTTTTCCCGCGATTCGGCAGATACCGACTGTCAGGAGGGTGAATTCCGCTGTGAGAAGGACGGCACCTGCATCAACCTCGACTGGCGATGTGACGGAGACTCGGATTGTTCCGATGAATCAGACGAGCGCCAATGCGGTGAGTAGATAGAATCGCATCCGTCGGTGGATGAGCCGATCGGATCGAATTGGAGTTTCCGATCGTGGCTCTGACGACAGAGCTCGCGCACCTATATCAAACATTCCTCCCGGACTTGGGACCGAGATCTGGATCCTCGAGACTTTGTTTCCGTTGTTCTCCCACGCTGCGAGTCCAGAAAATGGAATGGGTTCGGGAGTCGAAGAAAATCAAGCGTTATGTCCTCCCTCCGAAGCGCCGAGCGCTAGCTGTTGACGTAGCTTCTTTCTTGGTCGCATCCACATGACGAGTTTCGTGACGAGTGAAATCTCTTGTTCATTGTGATCCGTCGCTAAACAATGAGGATCGATTAGTACCTGAGAACGGGGCGGATCGTAGCGTCCGATTTCTGAAAAGAGCCCACGCGTTTCCCTCCGCGCCTCCGGAATTCCGATTCCGAGCTCAACTCCTTGAGGAGAAAAGTGAATCCGAGGATCCCTTGTCGAGTGAGTCCGGCCGATGGATTCGGAGGGAGACCGTCGCGTGGCCTGTTCGGGGCAAGAAGTAGTCAGCGAAAGCAGACTCGTTCGGAGCCCGCCGAGAGGAAAGTCATCACAGTGTCTTCGACCTTGAGGAGATCATTTTATGAGATAATCAGTTTTGCCGCAGAGCGTTCCTTGACGAGCGCTCCCTGGAAAGCGTTGTTTCCGGTGCCAGTTCCTCAGGCATTAGGACCCGTCCAGCTCATCAATGCTCCCAGTTCTCCTCCTTACCCCCAGCCGGTCGAACGAACTATTTCCCGCGGTGGTAGAGCATGAGCGTTGAAGTTGGTTTCTGTCTCCTTCCAGAGCGTCCAGAGTGCTCAATGAATCAGTTCCAATGCAACAATGGTCGCTGCATCCAGAAAGAGTGGAAGTGCGACGGTGATTTCGACTGCCAAGACATGAGCGACGAACAGGATTGTGGTAAGCGTCATGGAGACCTCTCGCGATCCAAGCCTTTCCCCCGAGTCTAGTCAGGTCTGATTCGCTTGACAGAGGGAATCAGCTTCCCTGGGGAGCAGTACCCAATCAAGGGGTATTAGCTCACCGTGAGGATTGACCCGAGAAACTTACGCGACGTTCAGCCCACCGGTCAGCCCATAGGTGCACATCTCCCATCGAGATCCGCCCTGACCACATCGCTGACGTTGTCTGTTTCGAAAGAAACAGAAGAAGAGAAAGAACGCGAGTTCGGATCTGACAGACGCTTTTTCTCCCGGGGATCTCACCAGGAACCTCTGGGATATGTACGGGGACCGAGGGTTCGCCAATTCTCTCCGGGCGCATCCTTGAGAAGATCCCTCAGGTTATGGCCGACCGAATTTAAACGCTCAAGTTCCGCGCCTCAGACCCGTTAGACCTCTCGGGAGACGGGCGGAGGAGCGGAGGGAAGAAGTCCATATTGTACGTTTTCTTTGATGACTCGTACCCGAGTCTAGCGGACTACCGTTGGGGAAGACGCTTCATTGTGTTAGCACAGACAAAGGCTCAGCATCTGCAGATTTTCGCACGGATCCGAGCTTTGCGAGAATAAATCACAGTCAAGAGGCAATTTTTCGAAGCCGAGGAACCAATCGCAATTACCTACTAGGATCCTCTTTCCTCGGGGGGAAAACCTCGACCCGATCGCCATTGGACTGTCATCACGAGGGACATGTCGAACGTAGAATCGAAATCACCGACCACAAGGTTTCTTTTCTGTGCACCGTTTCCTCCCGGAAGGACAGTGGTGTAGAGGTGATTAGTTTCGGGACAATAGCACCTGATTCACTTTGATTGTGCTCGCTCCGCGCGGGAAATGAGAGTTCCCGTTTTTCCTGATCGTCAGCTTCGGGATCCGAGCTCTCCCCGCGTACAGCGACTAGGCCTTGGGAAAGAGAATCTGTGCCAGCTTGCTCCATCGCTCGATTGTGATCACTTCACTGTGACCGTAGAGTCATTCAATCGCCGCGATCAACATTCTCCTAGACTCTATTCCGAAGCAAGCTATTGATCTCCAAAGGTTACATCGGTTGCACCGCGGGCCAGTTCCGATGTTTGGACGGCACATGCATATCAGAAAAAAGCGTTTGTGACGGAGAACCGCACTGCCCGGATCGTTCCGACGAATCAGCAAATACCACCTGCCGTAAGTACATTCAAGCTTGGTTCACTGCTTTATTCCGCTTGAAAATCCCGTCCCTATAACTTTCACTCTGCCGACGGCACGTCATATCGCAATGCGGCTGAACGAATCGGGATCGTCTTGGAAATTCGGAATCTGAACTCCTTGCGCCCTAATGTCGACTCAGTTCGATGAACAGAATGCGAATTCCTCGAGTATTAGGTCCTGACTACAGATGTCAGCATTCTACTTGATTGTTACTCGGATTCCTTTCACGGATTCCTTCTTTGACGTCAACGTCTACATAGCATACACGAATATCGGATGAAAGAATCTGTAGAGATCAACTCCGAGTTATGGATAATTTCATGGTTGCACGGGTCTTCCTGAATTGTTGGAGACTGTCAACACTCGAACATTGGGTAGGGGGGAGGGTCGTCGTGATACGCGAAACTTCCGACTTATTCACACCGGGATCGATACTTACCGATGTGCCCGCTGAGAATAAGGTCCGCCGAAGAAACGGAATGCCCGCACGGGCTAGACGAGTAGCTCTATTGGACGGAGCTCATTGCGGTCGTAAACGTTGAATCAATGCTCTCCTAATGACAAGGGTAAACATTGAGCAAAACTTGTCCAGCGCCTGCATGTGTTGATTTTTTGTGCGTGCACTCGATGCTTCCCCACTCGTTTGCTAGCTCGGCTCACTGACTTGCTGGCTCACATCGTTCGCTCCGGCTTACGGCAAACAAACCTCAATCCTTCTTCGATACCTCGCCGCGCGTGCGTGTCCCCTTGCTTGAGTCGATTCTGCACCTCCACACTGCTTGAGACGGGAAAGTCAACACAAGCCGTCGTTCATCCGAGCTAGACGACGGGGGCGCTTGATTTTTTCTCTCTTTGTGTATTTTCGCTACAAACGTGCTCAGAACTCTCAACGACCGAGCTACGAACACAGTGGACGTTGAACACGTGTGGGAACAATTTGACGGACTCTCTTTTTTCGACGGAGCTGGAGCTGCGACGAGCGACCGTCCGAAGCTCGCTGAATGTACCAAGCTCGAGAAAAAACTTCTGAATTCCTCTTCAGGAAGCACAAAACCCTGTCGCGAAGAGAATGTTCCGTGCCAGCACCAATGCATAGCGACGGCAACCGGACATCGGTGTGCGTGTCGCGAAGGCTACCAGCTTGCCGGGGACTTGCGCTCCTGTCTGGGTAAGTGGCTGACGCATAAATTGATTTCTTCCAGCCTCGTATTGTCCACTACGGAGCTGGAAGAAGCCCCCGACGGCAAAAAAGATGCCGTCATTCTCCGGTCCGGAGCACATCTCCGTCGACATCCTCGGAGGCATCGGATGCGACAGCGATGAAAGAAAACTCCCCCATGAACTCCTCTCGATGAAGAAGAAGATCGGCCGTTGAGAGACAAAACCTTTTAGTCGTTTGCCCGTCGCTCACGGACGAACGACCGGAGAAGCAACTCTTGGCAACTGTTGTCTCCGCGGTAACTTTTGTCGACATTGAGGAGCTATCTGATTCTTCGACAATCCCAGCCGGCGGCGCTGTCGGGGGGAAAAAAGTCGTCCCGAGTCCAGCGCGTTCCCTCCTCCGGGCGATTAGGTGGTGCTCAAATTTATTTTGCATCTCCGATTCACGCTTATAGGATAATGTGGTAACCTAATTGAATTTTCTCGCCACTCTCCCGGCGCGCCTCACTTTGGATCGACTTATGCCTCGGATGGGTCAGACATCGACGAGTGCCGGATTTTGGGGATGTGCAGTCACAACTGTACCAACACAGTTCCTGGCTACCAATGTACTTGTAGTAGGGGTTATAAATTGCGTGATGATCACCGTCATTGTAAAGCACAGGGTCCTGAGGTGAGTGATCGTCTAGAGAGCTGTCTCAATTCTACAAACCGAAACTTCTAAGCTCAGGAAACCAGGGAATTCTCTCGAGAATTATGATCGCGAAAAGAACAGATCATGGATGACAGCCCGACGGGCGAGATGTCACCTTCGATTGCCCTTGTCGGGAACTCTTACTCCGACTCGGGCTGTTTGACTCAACTCGGAGCTCGGTTTTCAGGCTTTTATTCTTTTTGCTCACTGCACTGACATCCGACGCCTCAAGTCAGACCGCACTGGCTACAGCATCGTGTTGTCGAAGTTCCAAAACGTGGTGGCTCTCGACTTTATCTATCATCTGAACTTGCTCATCTGGTCGGACATCGGCCAGAAAACAATTCAAAGTTACGTCTTAAATCAGACCCTGTCCGCTAACGTCGAACCCAGAATCACAACTTTGATATCGCGAGCGATTCCCAATGCCGGGGGATTGGCGGCCGATTGGCTTTCCAACAGGTGAGCTGCATCCCCGAATTCCGCATTATCTGCAAGCACTTCGCCCTCAGCCCGGAGAAACTTCAGAGACTCGCGGGAAACCGACGACTTGACTCGAAAACCCATTTTGTTGCACCGAACCCACTCGGGCTTCCTCTTCGACGTAGTAGTGGTTCTCTCAGCGAAAGAGCGTCACCAACGTCAACGCTCTTTTCGTGCTCCAGGATATATTGGACCGATTCGAAGACGTCTCGGATCGAAAGCGCCTCGGCACTGACGGGTCTCGACAGGAAGCTCCTAGTGCACTCGGACATCCAGAAGCCCCGTGGTATCGCTCTACATCCTCATTTTTCGTAAGTGTTTGGGCCGTTGCTCAGCCTCGACAGGACCTCCGGGGCGGCTCCCGTCTGCGTTCGAGATTCTCTCGGACCATGGCACCGAAGTATTTTTCCTTCGTCCGTTGGACCTTTCCGAAGTATCGATTGATTTTGAGAGACTTTCCTCGCTTGGGACTGCTGAATCCCGGTCCGGTATTATTCCGGTACTCGTCGACTCCTTCTGTACGTATTGCGCTTCTTATTCCTCTCACGAAAACGTACGCTATTTGTATTGTGTTTCCGGCCGACCGCGCAGCATGGTATTCTGGACCGATTGGGGAGATCAACCCCGAATCGAACGGATCTTCATGGACGGCTCGGAGCGGAGAACGCTTTTCAATAGTTCGCTTTTCTGGCCGAACGGAATCACAGTCGATTACCCAACGAATTCCATCTACTGGTCCGATGGCAAACTGAACACTCTCGAATGCGCCACGATTGACGGTCTGGAACGGCGGAAAGTTGTGGAAAAAGGGCTCCCACATCCTTTTTCAATCACCGTCTTCGAAGACAATCTGCTTTGGACCGACTGGATGAGCAAATGTGAGTGATTTCCTCCCTAGGAGATTGCACAAGTTTCACAGGACGCCGCGCCGTCGATCGATGGCTAGACTGAGGCACCGCTTCTCAGCTGTGTACGTTTTTCACTGTGGCTGCGCGCGGCAGTTTTCCGCGCTCTGCATTCATCGGCGGAGTCGAGTAGTTCGAATGGCTCTCCGGGGAATGGTCGCAATATATCCAGACCGCAGTTTCATCTCGGGCCCGACTGTGTGAGAACAATCGGTGAACGATAGTCACACGTACGTAGCAACGTGTTTTCGCTTCGGTGATGTTGCGTCACGAGGATCCGACCGGCGATGCCGCATTCGATGATTAATGGAGCTTCCAGCAGAATCCATTTGCTACACGAAATGCGTTTAAGAAGATTGGTCCTTGTTCTTGAGGCAAGGCCTGCAGCAGCTGCTGCTGCTGTCGACCCCGGATCTAGCGTAATTTCCGGAGACAAATGTCTTCCCTACTAGTATAATAATTGGAACGAACGATTAAGCAGGGGGTCACATCTTGTTTGTGGATAGACGCCATGGAACTCAACAGCGTACGACAGCAGCTCGGGGAACTGGGACGAGAAGCGCTTAGCGCCCCTCGATCAAAGCAGGAGCCAATTATGTCGTCCAGTAAACGATACGGCGAACGTGCTCTCAAGAAGCTTTTGAGAGGAATCATCTCGCTCGAAACCCCTGGAGCGTTATCCCATCCCTGTTCAAGCGGTTAGCGTTTGCGGATTCCGCTGTTCCGTCGCCTTTGAACGTGTGCGTCCTCTGGAGGTCTTCTCCCTTCGACTCCTGCTGTTTTATTCAGAATTTCAAATTAGAACTTTGAGCTCACCGTGTTCCGAAAAATAACGCGAGTTTGTTTTTCGCGGAAGCTTCGATCGCGTGCCCCTCCGGCTAGGAGGAGGAAAACCCCGCGGTCGGGGGCGCGCGAGTCGCCTTGAGAATATCGTCGTTGGAATGAGCCATGCTTAGATGCGGCTTCGAGTCGACTCAGGAGGTATCCTTCCTCGGGAAGGCGACATTACGGTCCGCATTGATGCCGGAAGGGCTCTCAGTGGGTCGGGATGGGTGTCGGGGAAGTGGGTTGAATCGAAGGGAAAAACTGAACGTCTAAGCTTCCCTTAAGGCGATTACAAGGAACTCTGCCCTGCCGTGTAAATGCTCTTTCTTCTCGGCAAATAATATATCCAGCTCGAATTACAACTGTAGAGCGAACAGGAGAACTCGAGCGCAGAAACCATCAGATTCTTTTTTCAGCCGTGCACCGTTGCAACAAATTCGGCCAGGAGTCGGGCAAACAGACCGAAGTGCTAGTCGCCAACCTCAGCTATCCGATGGATATCCGGATGGTCCATCCGCTGCGTCAGCCGCCGGGGGAAAACCCTTGTACGAACTCCAGCTGTTCGCATATGTGCTTCTCGAACCTGAAAGCGTTCACGTGTGCCTGTCCCGACGGCCTGACGTTGCTCGCCGACAACAAAACTTGTTCACAATGTGCGTATTCGATTTCCTGTTCTCAACGTCGAATCGTAGTTCACCGCTCATGCTTTTCTCTCAACTCCTCTCACCGCTATGGGATTTTACGCCAAATGCTCCAGAAATCGATCTCCATCTGATCTGCTGAAAATTCTCTCCCGATTCGCATATGCGCAGAAGGCGCTTTCCTCGACAGGACCGGTGAAGGGGAGAAAAACTGATAATATGCTCGGCTGCTTCAGGGCCCGAGGATGCGATAATTTTCTCAATCCGTGGAGACATCCGGAGGATGTGCATCCACTGCTCAAACTCCATTGATGTACCTGTTCCCATCGATTATCGCATGGAAGGTTTCATGAAGAATGCGTCGAGTGCCATGGCGTTGGAGTTCGACCACGAGTCCGGGTCGATATTCTGGACCGATAGAACCAACCAAGCTATCTGGACGTCTTCCTGGGACGGTACCAACCAAAAGGTCAGTAGGCTGCGAGCGTAGCGGATGTTCAGCTCCTCGCTGCCAAGTTGAGACGCAGCAAAGCCAGACTAATGGAGAACTCCAAGTGCGGGGAATTGCTACGCACTATGGGCTCGAACTTTCGAGGGAATCGATCGGTTTCTCCGCTATGAGGCTGTCTCGCGCATTGTCGGAGGCTCATTCTTGTTTCGTGGCCTCAACGGAAAATTCCGGAGAGCCCGTCAGAAATTCTCCACACTGAAACTCTATTCGAATAAAATTCCATGGAGAGCCGAGTCGAACTCGGAGGGTCCGCGGGCCGGGCCAGTTCTTCGATTCCGCGCTAATTCCCGTCAATGAGCGAAGTGTGGAAGCTGGCTCGGAGATGGCATCGCGATGTCCTCTCGGGAAAATACCCGAAGCAGGCGAGCCGTCTTCGAGGCAGCGGCTGAGAGTAACAGTCTCCTCAGACACGATAAATGTTCGCAGATGGTGGCCCAAGCGAATGCGGCCGACCTCGCTTTCGACTGGATCAACCGAAAGCTGTACTGGACAGACGCCATGAACGCGAGAATCGAAGTTTGCCACATCGATGGCTCGTTGCGCTCCCTGCTCCATTGGAACTCGCTATACAAGCCGCGGGGTATCGTTGTGGATCCCCTCCGAGGGTAGGTGCTTTTTTCTCGTCCATGCAAACGCCTCCCCCCATGCCGTGCCGCTTCGCCCGTTTTCGTTGTTGTTATTGTTGTCACACGCTGTTCATGTTGTCGACAATCTCGACTTTCTTGCCTGGTGGAATGCTTTCATCGACGGTAAGATTCTCTATGAGACTCGCATCTCAAAGTGCCTTATGTTGAAGTTTCCTCTACTGGACGGATTGGGGAGACGTTCCGAAGATCGAGAGATCAACGATGGCCGGCAGTGCGCGAACCGTGCTCGTACCTAACGGTCTCAAGTGGCCCAACGCTCTCGCCATCGACCATGGCTCAGAAACGCTTTACTGGACAGACGCCAATATGAAACTCATCGAGATGCTTCATCTGGAGTCGGTGAGTTCCTCCGAGGCAAGCCTTGTCATTCTCGCTCGGTGGCGCCATACGCAAAATGCTGCAGACGAAGCTCGGGATATCTGCTGCTGCTGCTGCTGCTGCGTCGGCGGTGGCTGGTGGCGGAGAGGAACCGGGATCAATCCCCTCTCGACATCGACCGCGGTATTTTTTTCTTGTGTTCTACGAATGGAGGAAGTTGACAGATGGAGCATTCCTCCAAAAGAATTCGCCCTACGAATGGAGCCGTTTTTATCTGAGATAGCTTTTTCTTTATTTTTCCCCTCCCCAATGCCTCAAAGGTCATGGATGGTTATACCTACAGACTACGTTCTCGAAATACTGGATACGATTTTTTTGTTTTGAAAACGACAATTTTTCTGCAATTTTCTCTACAAACGAATCCTTCGCATCGCCCGATTCCGGGAAGAAAATCCGATAGTCAGGCAAGAAGCTCGAGGAATACTGCACGTTCCTGCAGAGCCCGTTTGTTTGAATAATGTCTGAAACCCCAGTCAACGATCTGTCTCCCAGTCCGCACTCGTTCTGCGTCGGAGCTCTCCTGCGACACAAGGGCATCGCCGCTTTTCTTCATTTCTTCGGCCTCCGAATGTTCATTCCTATTAAATCCGATGGAAGCTGGCGACTTTTGACCGGATCTTCGTGCTCCCTTCGTTGGCAGGCACTAAATCATCTTATCGGTGGCGCTGCTCCGACAAGCTTTGTTCAACTGTGATTGGTCGAGAGAGCAAATTGTTCAATTCTGCTCAGTGAGTGCTTTCTCGAAACTCGCTCCGAAAGGGCTCCGACAAGAACTTCACGCTCCCCGCTGCGTTTGACCGAAACGTAACATTGGAGTCGGTCCGGTGCGCTCAGCGCATCCGGGACCCGGCTCGTTTCGAATTCAGCTGCCGGTTATGTAAGGGGGAAAGTGGATCGGAGAGTCCTCAGCCGAAGATGAGGTTCCGAAACGAAGTCGAAGCTTCTTCGTCTTTGACGAGATGACCCTCGGAGGACGAGTTACATCATCGTCGTCGCGGTTCCCGTCATCAGCTCCCTTTCTCTCATTCCTGATTCACATTTCTCCCCCTCCGGCTCCTCCATCAGCGGTCCATGTCGAGCGACCCGGTCCTTCATACCTTGAGTCCATTTCCTCGGGGTCTCTCTCCTCACGTTTCCGCGACGGCACCTTCCGTTCAGATTATTTGGCAAGCGAAGAAAACGTCGGCTTCACGGGGATTAGAGCAGCTCTCTAAGAAGGTTAAATGCTCGGTGCTTCCGTATGTTTGCCGAGAGCTTCTGCCCGCCATAACCAGATTATTGCCAAATCACGCTTTGGGCGCTCCCATCATGGAAATAGGAGTCGGCAGTCTACGGAATCCACGGAGACAGCAGCTCCAGCGACGGACGGAGCCGACAGCGGCCGACGCTCGGCGGAAACATCGAAAGAGAGAAAAACGAGGTCGGCCCGCCGCGGACGCAACTCTGTCGCAATGCGTCCACCCATCGCGGAACAGGATTGGAATCCTACTTTCTGAAAGCAACTTTTGCCACTGAATGGAGAGTTCCCTCAGACGACCGGCTCTCGATCTATCAAAAAACGCTCTGGCAACTTGCCGTCCTCGAGGGAACGGTTATGCTCCTTGCTTTACGTGAACTGCATCAGCAGCGACTGAAGCAAGCCAATGAGCCTCTGCTGGAGGCCGACTCGCGGCGACAGGGGGGGCGCTCTCCCGTCGTACGCGGAGAGCGATTCGAGAAAAAATCGCCACTGGATGATGAACTCCCGAATTCTCCCGATGCTTGGAGTCCGCTGTGTCCGCGGAAGGGGAAATGGAAAAATTAGTCTGGCCTGCAAAACGTAAATTTCTTCCCTCTCTGCTCTTCCGGAGAGGAAGAGAACTCTTGAGATTTCGCTGGGAAGGAGGGTCGGTCGACCTGATTCAACATACCTCGAAATGCCCTTCAGACATCAAATCTCAATGTTTCTCCGGTAGTTGTGACTTCCCTCAGCCCGAAATTCGGGAAAATCGCCGTGTCGACTCTCGGGACACCTGTGCCTCGCTCTTGTAGCCCATGGTTCGTGGACATTCGAACGACGTCGCAAGAGTCAGCGATGATTATCCTCTCCTTGGATCTTCGAGAATCATGAGGGAACGTCATCTTCGGGATTCGGGACGTCGGCATCCCTGTTTGACCCGGCTAGTGGAAAGGCACGATCTGATGCGGGGAGACCTCGATTCATCCCATTCCATTTCCGTGATTTCGATGACGATAAATCTTAAACCGCGCTTCGCTGCCTGTCGCCTATCAGCTAATTTCTGGCTGGGGTCTTGTGTCTAATCGGCAAAACGGGACACTTGTGCAGCGGGCGAGGACGTGGAAGAGCCGCAATCGACGAAAAAAGAACGGGGATGGAAAGTGGACGTCGGTGACACAATTTGAATTGCATGAACGAATGCTCGCATGCTGGCATATATATATCATGCGGGAGCTGCACCGATGTCGTCTTATGCTTATGTCAGTCAGCAGAGGAAGATCCTTCACCGCGAAAATTGACGTGAAAGAGAATTCACGTCTCGCAAAGACATGGACACTGGGTTGGCAGGCGGGCAAAAATCTTTAGGATTGTTTCCCGACGTCACGATTACCATACTGACAGCATGAGACGATCCTGCAGGTATTAGAGCGAGGAAGTGGCACGCTACGGATTTCCGTTCGGACGGAACGCCGGCCGTCGTGATCCTTCCATGAATGCGGGCGAAGACGACGATTCTGCTTGTCAAGCGGCTTGCCCACCTACTGGGCGTCGACAAGGTTTGCTACTTGGCTGACTCGCAGCACATTCGCTTCGAATTGCCGCAGTCGGTCAAGGTAATGTCGACGAAGAAGAAGGCTGATTGTATGCCGAGCAAATAATAAAGAGGCTTTGCCTCGCCGGTGAGCTAGGAGCATTGTTCACCGGCCTCCCTTGCTGATGGCAGCATTGTCGGCTCTCCCCCGTCCCTGCAGACCCAATTGGACAATTTGTCGCTGCGAGTGGCCGATGTTCTTGTCGGAGAACTTCATGTACGGGAATGGCAGTCTTATGCAAGCTCGGGAAGCCTGCGAAGGAAGACTCTGACTGGGATAGGGAATCGGCGCAGCAACGGTCGATGCTCGATCGACGGCAACCGCTTTTCTTCCGGTCACCTTTGAGTTTCTCGGGAGATCGAACGAAAGACCCAAGTGCAAACCTACGTCATGCCTGGCTCCATCGAGGTCTGCGGGGGTCATAGCGCGCGTACGTTGCAAGTTTCCCGTGGCAAGTCTCCCGAACCGGAATCCCCGGCGATTTTCGACAAACAATTCCTGCGCGCTGAACCATGGAATCCAGCCTCACTACATCGAACCAGCCCGTAAGGGAAGTTGAGTCTCGGTTCGGAGCGCGAAATTCGTAGAACTTGTTCTGGATGGACCTGAGCTGTGTGTTTCTTCCTGCAGAACGAACGAAGACTCCTCACAGCTGATCTGAGCGAAGCTCACGAGACTTTCAGAAAACCTTCGAATACGACCAGAATATAAGACGTGATCTCTCTCCTTCGCAGATGACGCGGCGAGTTCTTCTACAGAAAGAAATGCCGAATCCCTTCGACCTTTACTTTCACGAGGGCAGGATATACTGGACCGATTATGAAAAACACACTATTCAGTCGGCAAATGCACAAACTGGATCCGATCGCCGCCTTCTGGGGGAGAAGCTCGAGGGAATCAACAATATAATCATATACCACAAGCAGCGTCCTGAAGGTGAGAAATTCATCCCGGAAAGGGCAGCGATCGCTTCCTCTGGGGCACCGAATGAGATAGTTCGGAAAAAGTCCGGCGCAGGAAATTTTGAACGACATCGAGAACAGAGATGCGAGAGATCAGGAACAAACCGCTCCGAATCATTTTCAGTGCCAAACCCATGTGCCTTAAACGAGTGTGGCTGCAGTCATTTGTGCCTCTTGTCCGCTGGGAAACCGGACGGATGCGAGTGCGCATGTCCGACTGGCTCGACGTTACTCAACGATACAAAAACGTGCTCTGACGCTTTTCGGAAAATGCTCGTTTTCTCACAAAGGACCGAGATGCGTTTGATGAGTGTGGAGATGCCGTACTGGGCGGACGTGGTGGTTCCGATCCCCCATCGCCTCGAAAACATCATCGCCCTCCACATGGACACCGTCAGTGGTAAGATCTGCTCTCGAACTTCTGAACGCCTCACCTACGCGCCTTGCTCTGCACGGGGGATCTCGCCGTGTTTACGGCACGTCTTCATTCCAGAGCGGATTTTCTTCTCGGACGGAAACCTCCGAAGAATTCAGAGTTGTGCCCTGGACGGTGGGGATGTGAAGGATGTTGTGACTATAGGAATCGAAACTCTGGGCGGTCTCGTCGTGGATTCGCGTGCTCGGAAAATATATTGGACCGATGCCGGACCTCACCAACCTCGCATCGAAGTCGCTGAGCTCGACGGTGCTCATCGAAGGGTGATCTTGTGGCAGCAAGAGATGGACTCACCTCGATCGATTACGATATACCCCGAGAAAGGGTAGGAGCCTCAAGCGATCTCTGCGAAAGCTTGACCTTCATTTTCTCTCATTCCATTCGTGAGTGAGCGTGCTCAGAGCTCTATTCCTGGGTACTCTCGGAGCTCATGGAAGTTCTGGATTCCGACAACAGGTGGATTTTCTGGACGGACTGGGGGAACCAGCCACGTGTCGATCGTGCCGATGCTGATGGCCGAAATCGCAAAACTTTAATTATCGGGAAACTGGGTTGGCCGCACTGCCTCGCGGTCGACCTTCAGGCCGGTCGTCTGGTGTGGGCAGACGCTAAAAGTCATGTGAGTCATCTCCTAAGGAAACATCGATGCACCGATCAGGTTCCTCTCATCCTCGCCTAGTTCTCTCCAATCCTCCTCCGTTCTCAGTCCGAGCTCATTGTTGCTCAGCTTTTTTCGCTGAGGGAACGGGAACGCTTCATCCCTTCGACTTGACGAGGATAAAGGCAGTAGCGAAGATGTTGTTGAAAGTCAGACTAGCCTTGAGCGTCATTTCCGAGCCGAAATATTACCTTCTGAGAGTAGGTCTTCCCTCCCTGGGCGCGGCATGCTTCCATGAGGCTGCTTCAATCAAAAAGCGGCATTGCATTCGCAGACAATCGAAAGCGTCGACCTCGATGGCCGCGACAGGAGAGTTTTGCTGAAAGAGTTGCCATCTCCGTACGGCGTCACTGTGTGGAATGCGCGCCTCTTTTGGACAGACTGGCAAACTCGAGCCATTCACGAAGCTTCAAAACCAACAGAGAAACTCAAAGGGAACCTGGCTTCAATCATGGACATTCACTATTTTGATCTCGAAGATAAAGGTGAGAGAAGTCCCTTACCGATCCCATTGCGTAGAAGCGGAGCCCCATCCGTGAGAGCATACGGCTTTCCGATACGGACTCTCCGAGATACCGGTGGATAAACGTTTTCGTCTCGCACCGACCGTGGTTCGCTCCATCACGCAGGGTATATGAAAGCGAGCTCAAACGTTTCGAGTGCCGATTCGTGTGACTTCACTTTCCGATGGGTTTCCTGTTGTTTGTTCGTCGCGAGGCGCGTAGCTTATTTCCGTCGGTGTCAGCTGGCGGAAAGATAGACAGTTGCAGCGGTATTATTGGTCGCTCCTGGAGGGGGTGTGCTGGAAAAAAAAACAACAGACTTCCTCTTGGCTTGTTATACAGATTGTTGGCTTGTATTCGCAGGGACCAACTTGTGTTCGAAGAATAACGGCGGATGCTCCCACCTGTGTCTTTCCTCTCCTCGCGGAATCTCTTGCCAATGTCCCACAGGAATCGAGATCCAGGAAGACGGCAAAACATGCGACGCGCGTAAGTTGGCCGCCACTTTCGTGCCCATCGATTTACTCGCTGATGGAACCTATCAGAATCACAAATTCCCCGAGCGCCTTATAACTCTCTGTCGATTCCCTCCGGAAATATGAGAAGCTATCTGTTTCCCACCGATCTGACCTAATTCAATGTTCGATGCCCGTTTCCGGACCGCCTATCCGAGCGTCGCCGTTGTTCATATCTCCTTGTTCTTGGTCCCCAGTGCCGTCTGCCCTGTTGGTGTTCGCCAACCGCGACTACCTCCATTCGATATCGATGGACACCCCTGACCGGACCGATGTATTGCTCCCGATAACTGATATCAAAGATGCTGTTGCCTTGGATTTTGATTACGAAAACAAGAAACTCTATTTCACCGACGTGAAGCTAGATGTTATCAGGTCAGTCGACGTCTGAACAACAAGATTCGTCTGCCGCCGACCGCGGGGTCGGAAGCATCCTTCATGTCACGCTGGGTTGGCGGCGCAGCGGTTCAATCGTTGCCGGTCGAAATCCATCAAATTCCATTTTTTCCCCGCAGACGCACCAACTTGAACGGTAGCAGACTCGAGACGGTTATCGATGCGGATCTTGCGTCCGCAGACGGTCTCGCTTTCGATTGGATCGCCAAGAACATCTACTGGAGCGATTCCGGTAGAGAAACTATCGAGGTTTGTCGCTATGACGGATCGTCGAGGAAACTCCTCACTAACCTGGACCTCGACGAACCGCGGGCGCTGGCTCTGTTCCCGGATCGTGGGTGAGTTACCGATGGTCTTGTGACGGATGGACCCGACGATTTGCAACTGGGAAGAAGTGAAAAAGAAGCCAACTCGAGATGTGGATCTTTTTTTCTTTCTCTCCGTCGTTTTTGGGAATCTCTGCTGCCCACGTCTGATGACGGTCCGCATTGCGTTCTTCTCAGGTATGTTTTCTGGTCGGACTGGGGTCGTCTACCGAAAATCGAGCGAGCCTATCTCGACGGCTCAAGTCGACGAGTCATTGTCGCCACGGATCTCGGTTGGCCCAACGGGCTCACAGTGGACTATGAAGCAAAACGCATCTACTGGGTTGACGCCCAGATGGACTGCATTGAGATGTCCGATCTGAATGGAAAGCACAGAACGAAGCTCGTCATAGACGTGGGACACCCTTTCGGACTTACTTTGGTGAGTGGGTGAATGAATGAATGAATGAATGAATGACCAGAGGAGCTTGTAGCTGCTCGTCCATTTGCCTCATGCGGGTCTGCCTGGTCAATGCGC